AGACTCACAATGTTGAGGGTCTCCTCCTCCTCCTCCAGGTACTCCTGTTCCCAGTCTTCTCCCGTGGGGCATACAGGAGTCTGTGGAAAGACAAGAGGAGATAGCATCCCTCATAAAACAGCAAATACTCCTGGTCCAAATACTCCTTTTCCCAATCTTTGACAGGCCCACCTCCTGCCATAGTGTGTACAGGACGTTGAAAGGACCCTGGTTAGGCCTTGGCATCTATAGGCTGTGAAAAGATTTTTCCCCATTTTTAAACATTTAGCAATATGGTCTCCTACCTTAAGCAAGCAACCCGAGGTTTCCCTCCACTGGTTTTCTTCAGATGTCATTTCTGATTTGTCCATGTGCTTCAGTGATTTTCTTTATGGTTGTTGTCTTACCTGGCTTCTTCAGTGCCTTTTTAAGGGTGCCATCAACTTTTTGCACTGTGGGGGACAGATAAAGCAAAAAGGAAAGAAAAGAGAGGGATTGGAGAGAGAAAGGGGGGAGATAGAAGAGAAAGGGAAATTGAAGATTAGCTGGGCAGGCAAATCACCTTTTCCATATTTCCAGGTCAGTGTAGATTTTTAAGCAATCCTCTATATGGTCACCTATAGCCAGGAGGTAATTCTCGGTTTGCAGCAGCTGCCCTTCCTCTGTCATGGCTTCTGGGTTGTCCAGGTGCTTGAGTGCATTTTGCACTCTCCCCATCAGCTTTTTGCCCTGTGGGGGACAGAAAAAGCAAAGTTCCTCATTAGAATCGCACGTCAGAAGGAAGGCAGAGGCCACCTTTTGAGTCTAGGGGCCCATTTGAATTTGGGGGAGGGGATCTGCTGTGGGCACCCTCTCACCTGCAGCAAGCTTGAGTCTGGTTGTCTGCTGTAATTGTGTTCCCTGTTGTACTGATCATAGGTGAGTTTATCAGAGAGGATACTGGGCTAGATAGTTTCCTGAGTTTTCTGAGCTCCGATATTGTGCTCCGTGTGCCTGGCAATCCGCATACCGGTGATCCCTGCGCCATATTGTATGGCTGGTACCGGGTTTTGCTCCAATTTGAATTGGCATTGAATTTGGGATTCTTCTACCATTTGGTTTGTCCTGCATGATAAGGAAGGGAAAGAAGCTAGCACTCTTTCACTAGAAGACCAAAGATCTCATCCAGAGTCTCCTGCCTGCAGGAATCCTCGGATCTAGCTTTGCTTACACTGTAACCGCTTGGCTCTAGTAAATACCTGCCTTTTACCAAATGCAACTCAACAGTAAATGGGGACGAGACTCTTTCTTTCCTAAATGCCCAAGCTGGGACAGGCTTGGTAAATCTCTCACCTGTATGGCTGAAATGCTTTCCATGCTGGTGGTATCCCTGAATCTGGGAAGGGTGGGGAGATGGCTGCTGGAGATTTTGACCATAAGGGTTATGGGAGGCAGGAGACTTCGGAGTATCTCAACTGGGCCCAGGAGTTTCTGGATGGAGCCGCTTGCCATATGTTGCCTCTTCCTTCTTCTGTTCCTGCTGAGCAGAAAGACAACATCATCAGAAAACTCCAAGGTAGAAGACCTCCAAGATCCCCATCAGCTCTACTCTGACTGATTAAAAAAGGGCCAAGTCCGGCAAAAGGAGCAGGAGGCNCAAATGATCCAGAAAGAAGCAGCATCCACAGCTTTGCACACCTCGTGATTCATTCATACTATACCAAAGCTGCACTAGTTTCATGTGTCTTTCTGGTGTGCAATTCAAGTTTCTGCTTATCACCCTGCTGTGTGTGTGTGTGTGTGTGTGTGTGTGTACTAAGATTGTGTACCTTAAACTGTGAAGGCAGATCATCGGTTGCACTTGTGGATGGTTCATTCTCTTGTGTCTCAGCCAGGCATAGAATTTCCTCAATGTCCAATTCCTAGAGGTGGGGGCAAGAGTGCAACCAGACGCACACCAATTTGAAATATTTAATATTGTCCTTCTAAAGTTCTGATACGGAAATGAATTGGATTGATTTAAATCTCTGCCTATTTCAAATGACATCCCAAGGAGAATTAAGGAAGCTTTTTATCCCTGGTGCAGCCAAGATGAGGTGCTCAAATCTTTCTTGGATCTGTCCCTAGTTCAATAACTGATCTGACCTTTTTAAAGGATTGGGAAGGGAGAGGTATCAAGGACCAAAATGGTGACAACCGAAACCTACTGGCTTCTAACACCTTACAACCAAAGTAGAAGTTATCCCGTCGGGATTATTTACCTTTGGGGAAGTAGATGTCGCGTTTTCAGCCATGTCTACCTTTAAATTAGCTTCCTAATATCTAATACCACCCCCACCCCCACTGCCACCCAACCCCAAATTCCCTCTATCTATATTATTTAACTGCCAACTATTCAAAAAAAACAAACAATGAAACAAATAACCAGAATTTTCTTTGCCAACCTATCCAAAACGGAAAGGCAAGATTTGAAAACCTGGAATTCTGAACTGGACCAACTGACAAAGAGCCACAGGTAAAGTATTCTAACTGAAAAACTGTCAACTGACAAAAAGCCACACATTACTCCACACATTGGCCAAATTCAAACTGCTCAATTCCCACAATCCTTAGTAATAACTGACACTTCACTGGTGGGGGGGCTACTCAAGTGGACCAATAGGAAGCCCCCTCCCCTAACTGCCTCCATCCCAGTGTTCCAAGTTCGAAATCCCATTGCTCAGTGCGGTTAGAGTCAACTGACATGGCAGACAGCCAATCTGGTCTACGCTTCAGATGTTGGCCTAGAAACCAGCAGACTGGATTTCTAGTCCCGTTTTAGGCACGAGAGCCGGCTGGATGACTTGGGGCCAGTCACTCTTTCTCAGCCCATCCAACCTCACAGGGTTGTTATGGGAAAAACAGGAGGAATATTAAGTACGTTCACTGCCTGGAGCTAAGTATAAAAGTAACAATGGCAGGATGTCCACTCCTTTTCTGGTACTTAAGAAATAAGATAGGGAACTAGGCCAGTATTACTCCAGTCCGTGCTACTCTAGGTGCAAACCTTCTGGTTGACATAATCTTCATAATTTTCATTTGGGAAAACAAACCATGCCAATCCATAGGAGACCTGGAACATCTTTTCCAGTGGTGTCGGTTTGCAGACTGCAGTTGCACCTTCTTCCCCAATGACTTCTTCCTTCCTGCTTCTGCAATGGACATGATGAGCTGTTCCGGTCAGTCCCCTTGCTGAGGAGGCTGCCTGCTGAGTTGGTGGCATTCAGGTCTTTTATTATAGAACAGAATTCTTTATTGGCCAAGTGTGATTGAACACACAAGGCATTTGTCTCCGGTGCATAAGCTGGCATTACATACAAACAACATGTGATGGGTCATAGACCATAAATCAATTAATGTCAGGAAGCTGTGCATTCCACCGCTGGTAACTTGTGCTGGATTTGATAGGGCACTCCCTATTTTGACTACTTGTTGCCTGTTTGATAGGAATGCGGCTATCCATTTTGTAAGAATCCAGAAATGCTGTAAGAACTTAGTTTTAACAGTAATTTGGTGTGTACCACTGAATCAAAGGCTTTGCAGAAGTCTATGTAAATTGCGTCTATTGCATTTCCCTGGTCAAGGTGTGTGGTCCAAATGTTGCAAATTACAGGACAATTTTTTTCTGAATCCAAATTGGTTTACCTCACAACCCATGCTAACTACAACTCCTATAACCCCCAACCAATGATGTCACTACAAGAGAAGGGGAATTTTAATGCAAATTAACTGGCCATTATCAAAATGGCATTTTATTTTAGCATTTCATAAATCAAATTCTTGAAAACAGTAAAATTTAACAGTGGGAGGTTTCTCTTAACCAATTGTCATCCCTCATCCCCCTCAATTTATTTCTCTGATTATGGTGAGCTCTAAAACCATTTCCCAGGTGTTGGGATATTATTTCTTAAATCTCAAATTATTAACAAAGCACTTTATTTTCTATTATCTTCAGTCAAATTTTGGCGTCTGAGTGAATTCAGCCTATGAGGACCCAAGATGCTCCAAATGAAAATCTGAACAAAGACGGGGAAAGCAGAAAATGTCACGCAATATGAAAAAAGAAGGTGAAAAACAAGAACAATGACTGAGGAAGATTTTGTCTTCACTATCTAGAATCAGGTTTTAAGCTAAGGTAATAAAAGTCTTCAATATTTTCAAAACAAGAACACCATCAAGTTAAATGACCTCAGGGACAACTATTGAAAAAAAGAGACAGAAATTCCATTTTTTGAAAAACTCAACTTTTAATGTACAACAATCCGAAGTATATGAGCTCAACCATAGAAAAATGTTATACATATCTTATAAACAACATATTTACATCAGAAATCATTTTTCTGATGTATAACTTAAAATATAACTTAAAATTAATTACTGTATTTAGTCACAGGGATGTCATTTTCCCTTTAAGTCGCTGACTTCACAAAATTTGGGGCTAAAATTCAGTCCCCTTGGTGGATCCAGTTCTTCTGACCCACTTCCAATTCTTACAGCCCAAAGCTCTACAGCACTGTATTCAGGCTTTCTGGTTCCAGCATTGATGGCCCTGTAACTGGTGTTTCCTCGGGCCAGTCTAGCTCTTTCCGTTTGCATCTGTTTCTGGGCCTCTAGGTTTTCCGGCCACTCCAGTTATACTCTGGATTGTTCTTCTGCTCCAAGGGCCTATCCAGAGGTGACCAATGCTCAATGGAAGACGACACCAAGCAGAGATTTCTGAGGAACTGAAAAGTGAGGGTCAGGGACCTGGATCCACCAAGGGGACTGAATTTTAGCCCCAAATTTTGTGAAGTCAGCGACTTAAAGGGAAAATGACATCCCTGTGACTAAATACAGTAATTAATTTTAAGTTATATTTTAAGTTATACA